CCCTACTTACCCTCTTTCAGGATTATCTTTTCAGGGGTATTCAACAGATAATGCTTGTATGCCTATGATAATTCTGACCTCAGCCTCGCTCAGCCTTCCGCCACCTTTAAAGGCAGAAAAAAATAACAGAAAATCACACAGATTTTAATATGCTAAACTGTGTCTGAAACTCCCATTCAAATTCTTTCTTAAATTTCCTTTTCACATTATTTCTACCTACCACAACATAGGTAAGACTTGAATCCTGTATTTAATTGTTTTGAAACATTGATGTAGAATGTCTAACAATTTTTATAGCACTTGGTGGTTCATTGCATATCTGCTTTATAAATGTTATTCTGTAGATTAAAAGAGACTGAAGAACATAGCGGTGGTAATTTAAAAAAAAAGTAGCAAAAGGGTGTTGGTAATCAGTACATAAGCAAATGTTCTTAGATATGTATGTGAAATACAGAGGAGTAGGTGCATGGACTACAAAGAATTACAGTTCTCTAATTGCAAGAGATTTTATGCGTTTCTGGAGTATTTACAGTAATTCTTCCTAACTACAAAAGGTAATGTAACCGACTGAGAGGTTTTGATAACTAAGGAAGCTAGCAATCCTACAGATAGAAATGGCTACAACCGTTAATGTTGTTTATTTTTTTTAATGTTGCACTTACAAGCTAGTAAATAATTTACTGACCATGTTCAACAGGGCTTGCTGTCTTTTAACATTGTCATGCATTGTCATGTGTGCAATAGGAAATGTTAATTCCGTTGCATTTTTTTTAAATCTGTGTTGTGTTTTTTAGGCCTAAAGACTGTCTCCGTTCTATTATGAAGAGAGTGAATCATAAAGATCCCCATGTTGCTATGCAAGCATTAACAGTAGGTCCTTTTTAATGTGTTGCTTTTCATTCCTGAAAAGTTACATTGCAAAAAAATCTTCTCTGAGTTTTAATCTTTCTTTCTTTAGCTTCTAGGAGCATGTGTATCAAACTGTGGTAAAATCTTTCATTTAGAAGTCTGTTCAAGAGATTTTGCCAGTGAAGTAAGCAATGTGTTGAATAAGGTAATGTATTGCACTGATTTATATAATTAATAGAAAAGCTAAATCAGACAGAGAATTGGGGTAATCTGAAAGTGGAATGGAATCTACTTTTGCAAGACTGGAAATTTGGTAGCAGGGGGAAGGATACAAGATTACTGGAAAGACTCTGGCTGTGAGAAAGAACTTGCTGAATGCCACTTCACACTACAGTTACTTATGTATTCTGTTCAGGGGAGGTGGAGTGTGTTGTGCTAATTAATAAATATACAGCAGTGAAACACTAAGTACAGCTGTGGTGAAATGAAGATAATACAGGGCTTTTATATAACCTTGTTCTACTCTATTTTGGGCCTAGTATGTATTATACTAGTACAAACACAATGCTGTGGTGTACTGTTCTCCCTTTCTAATAAAGATATTCCTTAATGATACACTTGGCTTCAAAATAAAGTGTCTATATAGGTTTTTATTGACAGTAACATGAAATTATTTGAAATTAAGGAATTAAGAACAGATTCGTACATTATTTAACTAGTTTCTACTATACCTGCAGGGTCATCCAAAAGTTTGTGAAAAGCTGAAAGCCCTTATGGTGGAATGGACTGATGAATTCAAGAATGACCCACAGCTTAGTTTAATATCTGCTATGATAAAAAATCTTAAGGAACAAGGAGTTACTTTCCCAGCTATTGGTTCACAGGTATATTAAATTTTGTGATTGTTCTTAAATGGTATCACAAATTCTTTTTTTTCCCTCAGTTATGTATTTTACAGTTTGTAGTCTGGAATTCTATAATGTGTTTGGCAAACAAAATGAAATCTCTCATCTTAATAAAATGTTCCTCTGAGGAGTGAAAGGTCTGATTTACTTCAGATTTTTATATTGCAGATGAATGCAAATTAAAACAGTGAACTTAATGCATTGTCAGTTTTTTGTTGAATTAATTTTTACATCTTTCACTTTTGGCTAGGCTGCTGAACAGGCAAAAGCCAGTCCAGCTCTAGTTGCCAAAGATCCTGGTACAGCAGCCAACAAAAAGGAAGAGGAGGATTTGGCTAAAGGTGAGTGTATTTACTTGCTGACCTGTTGAATATATTGGTAAATATCAAATAAATCAGGAACAAATGTTTTGCTTCCTTCCTCTATGCGAATAGTACATTTATGGGTTATGATTATGATTTCTATTCCTTTCTTTTTGTACTCTTCCTGCAGATCTAGAGACTAAAACTGTTCTATGGGCAAAAATATGAAAAATTCCTGTTTTTTACTTTTTTTTTCCTTGCCCTTGCCAAACTGAAACAAAACAGTAAAAAATTTGCAAAATCTCATGTTAAGGACATGCTCTACTATTGAAGTGTTTGATACAAGTTCTGCACTTGGATTTTCCCTCTTCCTGGGGCAAGTGAAGCACATTCATTTGCAATTTAAACATTTGATGGAAGGAGAAAATAAGGATTATAGTTTAAATTGTATGCAAAGTTGGATTCAGTATTTTGGGTATAACTTGGTATTACTTTAAACTTTTACTCCTCTGAGTATTGCTTCTGTAGTCTAATGCTTTGATTGCTGTAAGCACAAGTGGCTGTTAAATGTTTCACTGCAGTCCTGGTAAGCAAAACTAGGATGGTTTCTTTTGATTTACTGTTGTGCTAAGGTATATTTAAAGGTCATTTCATGATCCTATACCAGACATGCATGAAGAGTTATTCTTAGAGTGGTTTGATCTTTATGGTCTAGGTACTGTTTTTTGAGGTCAAACTTCAGCAATGTAAAGACATCAAATGTTAACTCTTGTATGTAGCATGGCTTTGGGCTTAAAATCGTAACACTATATGAGTGAAGTTCTTGTGCTAGTAGTTGGTGGATGTTTGCAGTTTCTCATCTTTGATAGAAAAGTTTTTTGTTTAGCTATTATCTAATATAACATTAATTTATTTAAATTTCCATTAGCCCATCTGTATAACGTCAACAGTTGACCTGCCAAAGTCTACTTTTCAAGGGATTTGTGTCTCAAAGGTTCAGATTCTGCATCGGTTCTCTAATGTTTGTGCTCTTGTTTTTTGTGTCCTGCTCTGTCCCTTCTTAAACATAATCATTTTCTCCACAAACTTGGAGGAGTTTAATATGACTGAAACCTTTCTGCTCAGACAAGTTTAATTGAAAATGACTAAGAAATGTAAAATTACTGAAGGAATGATAGGGAGAGAACAGGAATGGACAGAATTTTGCTTGTCTTTTTCTTAATTATGAATTAAGGAGGCAGTTCTTACTGTGAAGGTGACTGAGCACTGGCACAGGTTGCCCAGTTGTGGAGTCCCCGACCTTGGAGATACTCAAAAGCTTTCTGGAAATAGTTCTGGGCAGCTAGCTCTAGGTGACCCTGCTTGGGCAGGGGACTGGACAAGATGACTTCCAGAGGTGTCCTCCGACCTCATCCAATCTGTGTGATTCTCTTATTCTGTGAATTCAGGCCAAAGACTTCTGGTCTAACAGGGAAATAACGTGTACCAGAACAGCTGCATCTTTTTAATGTTTCACATGATCTGGAAAAGTTGAACATCATGTATATGCTAGTAAGAACGTAAATACTTTACATTGGTTCAAGATAATAACAATAATATAATAATAAAAAATGGATGACTTCACTAAATTATCCTATTTGTGCTCAAGTACTGTTTATTCATCCTGTCCATGCTGAAAGTCTTAGTAAATCTATGGGGAGAATTGTGCTCTCCAATTGTAAAACATCTTCTTTGTTTTTTACCACTATTATTTTGACGTGAAAGGCAGAAGTTGATTATGATGCAACAGGAGTGGAATTATACTAGGAAGTTTTCACAGAATTAAATTTTCATATCATGCAACCCAGTTTTATAGGTAGTTTTCATGTGAGTAACTCTTCTTTTGTAGCTATTGAACTGTCACTAAAGGAGCAAAGGCAACAGCAAACAACACTTTCCAGTTTGTATCCGAGCACCTCAAGCCTTTTAACAAATCACAAACATGAGGGCCGAAAGGTTCGTGCAATCTATGATTTTGAGGCTGCTGAAGACAACGAATTAACTTTTAAAGCCGGAGAACTTATAACTATCCTTGATGACAGGTAAGTTATATAGAATGCCTACTAGAAGTATCTTACACTGTAAAAATCAATTGAGCATAAGTGTATCTTCTATTTCGAAGCATACATTGGGTACCATTGCAATAAAATATATTTACATATTAAATACTATATTTAGTTATCTCCTGGATTTTTTACATACAAATGTAATTGCATAAAGATTCTTGTATAAAGATTTCTACGTATATACAAATTATATTTATGCACAAGTAATATAAATGCCTTGTAAAGTGCAATTCTTAGGACTATTCCATGTGAATATGGGTGTTTTTTTTGATGTATGGGGGTTTTAATTATTTTTTTATCTTTAGTGATCCAAATTGGTGGAAAGGTGAAACTCATCAGGGTATAGGATTATTTCCATCTAATTTTGTAACAGCTGATCTTTCTGCTGAGCCAGAAATGAGTAAGTAACAGTACATTTTTATTTATATATATTAAGCATTGCCACAGCCCAAGGGATATTTCTGTAGTGATATACTTTCCCTGTTTCCTTTCCCATATGATAGAGTTGACTTGCAAGTTAATGTGATAAAGACATTTACTTGCTAAAACATTGACCTTGTGTGAACAGATGTCTTTTTAATGCAATTTACAGATTTGTTTATGAAAATTGTTTAAGTTTATGGAGATGTTTTTGGCTTTCAAAAGTCAACAAAATACTAATTTTTTAAAAATTCTCACAGTAGATGTTTCAAATGCAAAGAACTTGGGCAACATGCTAGCTGTATAACGTTTATGTCATTGTTTTGTTTGCTTTTATTTCATAAAATAAAATCTGTCTGTTTATCTTACAGTGAAAGCTGAGAAGAAAACTGTGCAGTTCAGTGATGAAGTTCAAGTAGAGACAATAGAACCTGAGCCTGAACCAGTTTATATTGATGAAGTAAGCATGATAGAAGTACTGATTTTCAACTGCTGGTACATTTAAATATGTGATTTTTTTTTTTTTTTGTCATCCTGTACCTCAAAAACAATTTGAAATATCAGAACATAACCGAAAGAGAATGGGAAGGGAAAGTTGATGTAGCTAAAATAAAAAAAAAATATCTACAGTATTCGAATTTGTTCCTGTGTCTTGAAGTTTTTAAGAATTTCTGAAACTGAGTTTGGAAACTGCATTCCATTTAGGGCCCTCCCTACTCTGGGATTATACAGCTGGTCACCTCCAAACTAGAAGCTTGGTTGGAGTGATGCATTTGCTTCCAAGTTTTGCTTAAAGTACTTGAGGATACCTCAGAGATACCCATTTTGAATGCTGGCTTAGATTTATTTTCAGTGTAACCACCACTGTCTTCCCTCAGTCTGAAAGATTTCTTTCCTTCTCTGAAAACTGAGCTTTTTGTTGCTCTGTAAGTAATATTTAGTGAGATTCACGCAATCTCTGTGACTCTGTAAAGTTCCTAGGAACTCTTAGCCCAGGATGTTTTTCCCTGCCTTTTTTTTTCTTTTTTCTTTTTTTTTATCCTTTCTGTCTCAGGGGGCTTAGAACTGTTTTCTTCAGAATTTTTTGCTTTCTCTCATGACCTTCCATTTCTTTCTCAACTAGGTTTCTGTCATTTTTTGAAATGAAAAATCAGTTACTGCCTTCCTAAAGTCCTATTTAACTCCTGCTTCAAATACTCTTCCTCCCGAGAGATATGTTAGTTTGTAATCTGACAGAATAGTTTCTCTCAGACCTGCCTTGAGGTGCCTTCCAACTTTTGTCCACTGTTATTCCATGTTAGTTTATGTTCTAGTGTCTTGTTTTGTTTTTAATATTATCAGCAGTTCATTTGGCTTTTTCCTGCCTTTCCTGGGGTTAAGGAGGAAGAAAACATGGTTTTACTTTCCACTTTGATACAACCTATATAACTTTGGCTTGTTAAAGGCTACGTATTTGATAGCACTCAGCTAAAAATCATTTTTTAATCATTTATATATAATGTTTGGTTAAGCAATATGGTTCACTCCAAAACAGTTTTCAAAGAGGTTATGCCTGTTAATTTTCCACCCCTTTGTATTTTTATAAATGGGTTGCACTTAAACTGATTAATCAAGGATGACTGAAGTCAACCGTGTAACCCCTCCAAACATCATCTTAAAAAAACCCTTTCATGTATATTAGTAATGACATTGCTTATGTGCTGGTAGGCCTCATACACTTAGAAAACGCAGGATACTTTTTCAGTGAATTTAGTTTTAAGTACCTATTTCTTTTCAAAGTACTCCCTCAAATGTTTTTTGTGAAAAACATTTGCACTAATCCCGCTAGGTGGTAGTATTGCATATGTAATAAATAGCATGGAAACTAGAAACTGCTCAGAAAATACTGTTTAGAAGGACTTTCAGGAATAAAAGGATATTCTGTATACTTTACTTGTTACTACTAATAAGTTTTATCATTTGCTTTTTCCTTGTTCAAGCATCTTCATTCCTGCAAAGCAGCATATATGCTTTGTATTTTCTTAACGTTAATCTAAATGAATTCCAAGTCCTAAGAGATCCAAATGGCCATTGTAAATAGCTGCTTTAATTTACTATTCTGAAAGTGTTAATTCTCCCCCCATATATGCCCTAACTACACAATTTGTGTTCTAGGATAAAATGGATCAACTCTTGCAGATGTTACAAAGTGCAGATCCATCTGACGACCAGCCAGACCTCCCAGAATTGCTTCATCTCGAGGGTAAGAAAATTTCATGGGGTTTTTTTGTTGTTGTTTTCCTCTCTAGTAATTACCTATATCAAAACAAATTGAAACTAAGCTGAAACTACTTCAGCTTCATGCGCATTCCACAAGCATGCCTGAGAAAAGTGCCTGAGCCAAAATTATGTTCTCACTTCCTGTTTCCGTCATCTAAGAGACCAAAGTGCAAAATTTTAACTTAAAACCAGCCCACTCCTCTCTCAAGGAAACTACATTCCATATTCTTTTCCTTTTCAAGACCCAGGAATACTTAATTCAATCTTATTCATCCATTTTTTTTCCTCCATAGAGCGGCACAGCATGAGTTGCAAAAGGAGTATAAGGAAGATTCCATGAGAAGAAGCAGAAATCTGAGGCTTAGAATAGACCTGTGGGTGTCCCACATGCTTTTCACTTGCATGCGTATTTCTATAGGGCTTTAATATTAGCAAATACTTTATAGAGTGCTACAAATTAGGCTAGTCTTTTAGACTATTATTCAGACTACCTCTTCAAAGAGGCATTATAGATCATTCTACCTGGGTTGATAGATGCAGCAAAAATTTTGGAAGGGCACTTTGGAGAAGGAAGTAGAGAAACTTGCCCATTATGAGACAGAAAATTGGCTTAAAATGATGATTCAGATAGGACCAGACTTTAAGAAAATGGCAGATTGCAGGTCTGTCTACAAGTTAATCAGGAAAAAGTGCATAAGCTTGTAATCTTTTGGATATCTCCCATCTTTCCACACCCATCTGGTTCATTATAGCTGTAAATGACTCCTGTTTTAGGAACTGCACATCAGTGATGTGTCTGCACATATTCTATTTCCACTAAAACTGAAGAGGGTTAAAAAGAAACATGAATGGTTTTATTCTTCCGAGTACCAAATATAGTTATAGAGGCTATTGTCCAAGAAGTGGATTGCCTATATCTGGTCCAGGACAGAGGCAAAGAAATTAAAGGTATGGTTGTAAGCCATATCTGGAGGTTGATTGACATTACGAGCTCCTTTCAAAATGCATTGTGAGATTGTTAGAACAATGATGAATATTAAACCGTGGGACTGCTGCTAGAATCTGAAAGCTGTACTGTAGTTAGATCACTCCCCAGCTACCTACAAGAGCTCTTGCCAAACATATGGCTGCGTATAGTTCTACAGTGCCATATTCAAGACTGTACTTGCTCTACACTCAGGTAGGCCTTGGGTGCCTCTGTTTTTGGCATAGGTTCTGGGAATTTTGTTAGAGATCTGTGTTGGATCTTGGGTTTCTACTAGTGGTGGCAGGTGTTGGTCAACATTTGACAAAAAAGCACTTCATTTTCTTCTGCCATCCAGATGTCCAGTCACAAATGTCTTTAAATGAGAGAGCTCATCCCAACACTTTCAGGAGCCCAGGGTTTGTGGTTGGCAGCAGTGCAGTCATCGTGTTAGTGTACAGACATCTAAACAATCCTTGTCATGCCTTTTACCACACTTTGTGTTATACACAAAGATAGGCAGAACTTACACCATATTTTATGTCTTTTCCTAGCATTTCTGGCAGTGTTACTGATCCGAGGCTCAAAGAAGCAGATGGTGCATTTCATATAACTCTTTCATCTGCAGTTGCCTTCAAGGAACACATCAGTGATGCGCTTTAACCCATGATGGCCCAGAGGCTTTCAGGAGTTTCTGCATCTCTAATTTGGGAAAACTGGGAGTGAAGACAGTGTTCCAGAGCTGCTTATAATGCATTTAGGTCATCTTTGATGCCTGAATCTTTTTTTCTCATCTCTCAGTTTGAATGTTGAGTGGCTCTTGGGATTAAACGCATCTCTTGATTAGTAAATAGCTCATTGCTTGGATAAATGGGCACATTTTGCATTCTGGAGTACGGTTAGACTGTAGTATCCCCTTTCAAGCTCCTTTTCTTGTTTATTTTACATTTGACAAACTCCATCTTTCTGTTAGTTAACTGTGGTTTGCTTAACAGTTACATGAACCCCATGGCCTTATCATGAAAGTTAGTGGGGGGTGTGCATTTTTGTTTATTTTAATGCTTTTCCATTCTACTTCTGATAAGGTTTTTGTGTTGGTTTTTGCATGTTAGTGATTTGAAAAAATTGAAAAAAAACCCTTCTCCCAACTAGGATTCTAGTGAGATAGCAACATGCTATTAGTGTCTTTGATGTGCAGATGATTTGAATCATTGCAACCTGTTTTCCCATTCATCATTTTCATAGATAGTCTTTTTGTGGTAGTGTTAGTTGAGCACATGATCTAGGCTGCAGTGGCAAATTCTATTCCTTGAAGAAGAGATCACTTTTCAGGTTTACCTGAACTTTTTAATGCAAAATAGTTTCAGCTTTACACTTCTTGGATGTTAGAAGTGTCTTGTTCCACTGTATTTTTATTGTCTTTTAAAAATGTACTTTTAAAACTGTACCACTAGTGAAAGCTTCATCTGGATCTCATTCTTAAATTATTCATGACACTACCTCTGTTTCTATAACTTTTTTGGCATACAGATGATAGTAGTGATTTAAAAAAATAATTGGACTAGCATCTACACATTTCTATGTGATAATTTTTTTTAAAGCTGCTTTCTGACTTGCGGTATGGAAATCTTTATTACTTTGATATATTTTAACGTCTTTCTATTCTAGCAATGTGCCACCAGATGGGACCTCTCATAGATGAAAAGTTGGAAGATATAGACAGGTAAAAAAAGTAAAATGTTTTGACTCAAATTAAGATTCATACTTAGAAATACCAGTGTTGTTACTTAATGATATCTTAATAATTTCTGTGAATACTAGCAAAGATGACAGGTGTATTTATTAATACCTTCTCATCTGGGAGGAGGTCTAAAGGGTTTTTTTCCCTAGTCACATAATATTTTATAGTATTGTAGCATTGGACATTCTGCCACTTGTCAGGCATCACTTCACAGGCTGTAAGAATACGTTGCTTATTACACCTCATGCAAATTTCCTTGTATTGCCTGCTGTGTAGTGAAGTTATCTAAATTGCGGAATAAGCTGTAAAATATATTTTCTAGGAAGCATTCAGAACTTTCAGAGCTCAATGTTAAAGCAATGGAGGCTCTTTCTTTGTATAACAAATTGATGAATGAAGACCCAATGTATTCCATGTATGCAAAACTACAAAACCAACAGTATTATATGCAGTCATCTGGTGTTTCTGGCTCTCAGGTATGTATGTATGTAACCTTTAATAGCCATTGACATTATCAAGTACATACTGAGCTATGGTTGATTTCTTACAAATTATTGGTGATAAGCAGTTTTTTGCATGAGCTAACTTTTTTACAAAACTTGCTCAAATGTTTTTTTACAGTATACTTCTCTACATTACTAAAATAAACATATACTGATATATAAAGTGTGGTGGATCATGTTGTTTGCAAGTAATAATTTATTTCCTATTTCTGCCCTTCTGTTCCCACCACCTTTGCCCCCTGATTTGGAAACCTCTTTTTATGATCTTTGTTACCTTACTGCTAGGTTAAAATAATCTTGCTCCCTCAGAGATAATCTCAAATGAAAAAGCAGTGTTTTCTCTCGTAAAAAAAAAAAAAAAAAAAATTGTTTTCAGCTGCAAGCTTCGGATATTCTCCTTTTGCAGGTTCTAACACTTTTAGGTCTTTTCAGTTCAGTTCATTTTGAGCAAAGAAAAAGCCCATCCTGTGCTTTGAGTTATACATAAAATTAAAAATTACCTAGTTCTAGACCTAGTTCTTTTAGCTTCCTACGAATATGTACTTTCTTTCTGCGTCTCTTAAAGAAGAGGATGTATGTTTTTGCAGTGTCATTAAGAGGAACACTTTCTTATGTTCATAGGTGATAAGCAATCGTGTCGTGACCCTATCAAATAATATTAATGTTTTATAAATGAGCATGTTTCTGGGAATTCTTAAAGGGAAAAACTGGATTTTGGGGTGAAGATGAGCCAGTATAAAGTTCTGAAAAGTTAGGAGGTTTCATGCCTTTGCTGCCTTCTAAAATTCTTTTGCGATATTGATAAGCCTTCTGTGTCATCTGAGATTTATAGAACTTAAGACAGAAGGGCTGTATATCATGAACTTACATGAACTCAGTTGCACGTGAGACCTGATAATTTCTTCTAGTAACTTGTGTTAAGCCAAATAATTAATGATTGAACAAAAGCATAGGGTTTAGAAATTTAGTCTTGATTTAGTATACTGTTGACATATGTCCCAGCCAGCTTTTCCTGTAGTTAGTTGTAAAAATTACTTTATTTTCAACTTATTTTCAAATTTCAATTTAAATTTTCTTAAGACCTCTTTTTCCCTTCTGCCCCACTCAATTTTACAATGGCAGTCTCAACAGTTACATGAAATGATAGGTTAACTAACAACACAAAATAATATGTTACTGGCTTTCCATTTTAATGACTTAGTGAAACATTTCTGGGCATCAAAAGGTATTGTGCTTTGGACTGCTATTTCTTACATGATTAAATCCTTTGGTATTTTAATTTAAAAGTAGAAGCTCTTAATTAGCATGAGTGATAGTCATTATAATAAAATTTGGAATACAAGTTTTCCAGTAAACTATTTGACCTTTTTGGTACTGGAGCCTGAGGTTAGAAATGTAAATGCTTTCCTTTGAAAATCTGGTAATTTTTTCATATTGCAGCACTTACTAGAAGACAATCAGTTGCTTTCTGACAAAAAGGTTTGAGAGGCTGTCTTTACATTCTAAAGTTAAATATTAAATACCAAATTTTCTGGTATTTTATTTTTAATATTCCTTTATTTAACCTCCTAGGTTTATCCGGGCCAACCTCAAAGTAATGCATATTTGGTGGCAGGGAGTGCACAGATGGGCCATATTCAAGGCTATAATCTTCCTCCTGAACAACTCTCTTCTCTCAGCCAAGGCACAGTTACTCCATCTGCCAGCTCAGTACTGCCTGGTCAGCCTACACAGACATCTTACACAAAGTAATTTTAAATATCTTTCCCATTCAACTTCAAATCAATTTAAATATAAAGGACTACAGATAATATTTAAAGGAGATTTTTTTTTTCTTACGGAAGTATAATATGAAACACTACTGAAAGATAGTTCAGCAGAATTATTTCCAGTGTGCTTTTTGTTATGTCATATGTTTGGTAAAAATTCCTGACAAACGTCAAATTTTTATGTTGTTTTTATAATTTTTTCCGGTTTGTAATTTTATATGTAGGAAATATATATTTTTAAACGTATGTATATATATTTCTTTTACATGAAATAAAAAATAGAGAAAATTATATAGACATGACTGATGATTTTTTAAAAAAATTTTTTTAGCTAACTTTTACTATATATTTAATTTTACTATATATTTAACTATTTAGCTAACTTTTACTATATATTTATCTGCTGCTCTGGCTGGTTTTGCATAATTTCCGAGATCATGTATATTGTATTGTTCTTTTTTTCAAATACCTTACTGTGGAAGCATGGGGAGAATTATGCTCATTTTGGTAAAGTAGTGAATGGGCTATGAATACTTACTAAAGTTTATACAGCTTCCCCACATAGAGTAGCTACAAGTGGCTTTCAGTTTTGGTTAGATGCCCGAAGATGCTTAGCTTTGGCTAATCTACCTATACTGTGAAAAAGTTTTGAATTGACCTTAGGAAGAGATTAAGGTTTTGTGGGTTTTTTTACTCTCTGTATAAAGTAATTTTATTTTATAAAATTGGGAGAGACATCCATCTTGAGTTACTAAAATATTTGTTAGTCTCTGTCCCCCAAAGTTACTTATTTAGGGTGGTAAGACATATATTAATGAAGTGAGTGTCTGCATATTTCACCTGACTTGTTTTGCTATTTTAAACAGTTGGTTGGGTTTTGGTTTTTTTTCATGAGCAGAATGTAAGATAGATGGGATCCCATGTTGCATGTTAAAATGAACAAAGTATAGATTCACAGTCTAGTTCTAAATCCATGGAAGGTGTGTTAGGTGTGTTAAAATCTGAGGAGCGTGTTTAAATTTTAATTAGAATATTCATTGGCTATAGTTTTAAATACGCAAGGTGTCTAGGCCTAGGAGATTTTTGTGTGTATATATAGAACAGCTGAAGAAGCAATAAAGTGTTGCTGTTCTGTTGGTAAATTGTTAATTCAACTTTACATTTTTCTAATTTTTTTTTTTTTCAGTACAATGGTTGGCTCTGTTGCTGGAAATACTTACTCTAACCAGGCTTCAGTGTATAGTCCACCAGCTGCTACTGTTGATGTTGCTGCTTATCAGAATGCTGGAACTAATATGTCCCAGGTGCCAAACTATAACTTAGCATCTACACCTCTGCCACAGACAGCAGGCAGTCAACAAGCACCGCCACAACAACCACAGCCTCCACCACCTCAACAACCACAGCATAGTTACTCACAGAAGGCTCTGCTATAGGATCCAGGACTTCTGATTCCAAATCCTCTTTAACCTCTGCTAAAGGCAGTTGGCAATTCTATGAGTTTCTTCCTTTAATCTCTTTAAACTTTGTTTATCCTCAGCTTAATAAGCATCTATCTTGGTGAACAAGTTCAATTTGCACTGACTTTTTAGGATTTTTTTTTTTTAATTTTGCAGAGGAACAGATATATTTAGGACATTTAATTCCTTTTAAAATGCCTAAAAAATGGTACAAGATTATTTATGTCTGGTAAAATTGGCTAGTCTGTGAAAACTCAACACTTGCAAGCTGTTGTGGCATATATGTTATGTACATATAGTGTGTGATTGCAGTAGTGGCCATTTCGTATAGCTATGGTGATCATGTGAATATATTTAACACAATGTTTAAAAATAGTTTACTATTTTATTTTAATCATGAGCTGACAACCGTGTTTCATAGTTTTGTCTAGTTTTATGACAGATGTGATGTCTTTTTCCACTGCAGGAAAAGCAGTAATTCTGCATATCATGGTTACATTTACAAGCTAAGGTCTGTACATGAATTTACGAACTTATCTGAGTCTATGTTTCAGTACTTCTTGAATTGAACAAAAGTCTACCATGACTACTAGATGGCTTATCTACCAAAGTTAAACTAGTTAACAAGTAAGTGATTTGGGGGGATAACAGCAAATTATGATTCTGCTTTGGATATAATTAATAAATTAAAACTAATATTCAGAGGCTGCTAAACATATCATGGGACCACGCAACAGATCAGGATCTTGCATTTTATCATGAGAAGCATGTAATTTATTTTTTCCAAGTTGTTTCTTACAATGAGAACCAGAACTGTATTCTATACGTGTTGGTAGAGATTACACCAAAGACAGAGGAATTGAGTTGGAGGAGAAGCGATGGACTTTTAAACTGGAACAGACAACATGAATAACACTACTTTATTCAAGTCTTCTTAATTAGGACATGGAGAATTATGGACATTTAAATCACTTTGCTGAACAAACCTTCAGGGCTTTATTTTATCTCTTGTGGCCTTGCTTAGCAATTTGTTCTGTTTACTGTTCTTACCGCAAACACTTCTGCCTTAAACATCTGTTTCAATTTCCAGTTGAACCATTTGAGTTTATTAGTCCTTCTACAGTGTGAATAGTTTATGAGGCATCTTATTTCCATTCATTTTCAGGTTACTTTGAATTCTCTTCTGCAGCAACATGCATTAGCCATTTTTAAACCCTGGCATTTCTCAGTAAGTTAGGCAGGTGGCTCTAAGGCATGATATTTTCTTTCTACAGCTGAGGTGCTGCAAAAGGAACATGGTAACGGAAGGCAGCATTTTAGATACGCCTGATCAGAGTTTCTTGTACAAAGACTGTTGTTGTTTTGCATTTATATTCAATCTGTTAATGCATCCTGGTTTCCTCTTATCTTTTCCAGCAACTCTAACTCCAATTAGAGCAATTCTAGATGGCTTCACCATCAGATCTGTGTTTTCAGTCTTGTTAGTGTGTATGTCAGAAGTTGTTCACTTTTGTGTGCTATATTTTAGTGTGATGCTTCTTGAATTAAATGTAACAATTGTACATTATACTATAAGCTGACCTCAGTTATCCCATACACTCCTGCATTTGTTCACAGTTACTTTGCATGCCTTTGTTTCACTGTTTTAATAGACACTGGTATTTTGCCCGTTAATGCTTTCAGATGACTACTGTGCGTAACTTCTAACTGGGGTGCTTACAAAACATGCCCATAGCTGATGTGTTCCAGTTGGGGATGTTATAGCCAGATGACTAGTATTTTCTTTTTTTTTTTTTCCCCTCCAGAACTCTTAAGCACCCTCACAAACTGTCATTGCTTCAGTACTTGGTGTCATCGCAAAAGTCTGTGGAATTTGAATGGAAATACTAAAAAAAAAAAAAAATCCAAGATATTGTGTAATAGATCATTTTTAATAGACTGAAGAAATTATTTTCTTTAGAAAGGGCATGTAGTATTATTTAGATAGTTCTCTGTATGCTTTAGGTACTTTATTGCAAAATCAGAGAAACAATGTGTATAGAAGTGTATAATTTCTATATAAAAGTGAAAATACCTTTTTACTCCACAGTTCTTAGGCCCTGGTTCAAGGAGAAGCTTGAAGCACCGAAATAGTCCAGCTGACATTGACTATTTGTGTTCTTAGGTTTTCACATGTTGTGTGACATGTTCTCTAATAAGGGCCTGTGGAAACTCTGTACAGAAATTACTCGGCAAAAATATTTTTTCTTACTAATTTGTCTTTTGTTTTTAAATTTTTTGAAGTCGTCTTAACACACAGAAATGCTTGTTCCTGGTTTCTCCTTTAAACACTGAAAACTTATGTGTATCTTAAGTTTTTCTGCTTTCCAAACTACTTATTCTGGGCATTTATCCATATTTAAGAAAATTAAAATCGCTTTTGATTTGTGTTCATCATGACCAAAAAACACTTTCTAAAATGCAATGCCACTATAAATTCAGCATAATAAAAGTTGTGAAAGAAAGATGGACACTTTTTATTTTCCTTCATGCCTTACCTTAAGAGTAGTGACTTTAGTAATCTCCTGTAACAAATTGTGATTTTTAGTTGACTTAGAATCAGTTTTCATTGTCCACAAGTGGTGCAGTAGGTCACTAGATTTTTAGGTTCAGAGTCTTAGCATTTCTGTTGTATCCTACATTTTCCATTTCAGATGCATTTTACAGATTCAACTGAATTTGGAGCTCTATTACTTCATGTTGCTTTTTCTCATTAATCAGAAAAGATTATTTCACCATCTCGCTTGGTTGTGTCCCATATGCTAGATACTCAAAAGTGATGCCTTCTCCTACTTTGCTAGATGCTGTCATTGCCCTAATTCCTTCACTCATCCTCTCACATCCCCTCTAACTCATAATTTAGCAATTATATTTCAATTCACATCCTCTTTGCTGGTTTAGTATCACGAACCTAGAGATGCCGTTGCTGGGGCTTCTCTGCTGTGATTTATTCTAAGATTCCTTGTTTATGCCATGTTTTTACCAAGTTCACGTATGTTCTGTCTCACTGCGGTATTGATCACTGAATGTGGGTGAGGGGGAAAGTACGTGTACAGCTACTGTATGGAAAAGCTTTTTAGCAAATAAAGTGTCAGGAAGTTAAACTATTTGAAAGTTAAGAATCCCTGAAAACGATACGTTATTCATGTTCCAATAGAAGACTTAATTTTTTAATGTCTTGTTTCTTTACATGTAAATTGTCAATGAAAGGCTAAAATGTTTTCATAATATTTCGTATAACCCTTTGTTATTTAACCCTTTCATTAAGGAATATAAAAATGTTAATTAACTTCAGAAGGGGTATTTTAGTGGCTTGGTAATCATGAACTGGAGCAAGCTCTGGAAAGTGCCTTCTGTGCATTTCACTTCTATGAACAAAGCTTGTTCACTCATGTGTATCATCTCAGTTTATGTGGGCATAACAGAGATGTTAAGATTTACCGTAAGCATCCCAGGAAAAATACTGAGGCAGCATGTTAAAATTTGCTACGCTGATGTCATGGCAGTATGTTCCAGAGTGCACAGTTGCAGGAACAGTTGCAACGTATTTACCCACCTCTGTTTTAGTAACTGGTACCCATGTAAATGTGTATTTAATGTCACTGGCTGAAGTACATACAGACAACAGTAAAAAGGAACAAAATACAAGAATTACTGTGTGCTTCTCAGCAGGTATGGAGCAGCACTTGCCCTCATGGTACAGTTACTATTCATAAATTTTTGGAAAGGGGCGGGGACTGAAATGAATTTAAGCAACCAGAACTTCACAGAATTCTGCCAGATTGCAAATGCTTAGATGTAACAAAGGAGATAAATTTGCTTTTAAGAGCATGTACATATTTTGCTATCAAATCTAGGCTGCTGTTATAGTTCTCTGATTTCATCTAGATGGCAGGAACATCAGATTTACACTGGAGAACTGATTAATACCTCATTCTCCATTTTTTTTTTTACTACTTTCTCTAATATCACTTACCTTATTTTTCACTCATATTTCAAAGATACCTGTGCAGTCTTTACATATAAAGGTCTTACCTTATTCCTCGTCTGCTGGGTTTCACAGACAGAATGAAAAAGAACATCTCTAATTACAGCACCTACAATAGTACTTTGAATTACCTAACTGCAGCTTCCTTTGGAGAAGATGCATGTATCTGTTTTGAAGAACAAGGGAGCATAATTTTTCCAGTGAAAAAATTGAGATTTTTTTTTTTTAAGAAAAAGGTAAAGTAAGTGTTAAAAAAAACCTCCACTGCTAACAGCAGGCAGAATCATTCTTTACGCTGTTATTCAAAAACATTATTCAGTAATAACTGACCAACTCCACACTACAGATACTCCTTTTTCATTTTCAGCTGCAATGAAGAATATTAACCTTCATGTGTATACTGTCCAACCCCATAGTAAAACATGGGAAGGCCTTGACATTTGTACTTTCTGCTTCACTATGTAAAAAACACTATGTATGTTTTTGAAGCCTTGTTTCTTAAATTAGGATGTTTGTGTTTAAAAACATTCCATTTGCTACTTTGTAAAATGACAGACCTGAAGTTCGCTTTTCATGCTGCTACCTTGGCAAAAAGGTGGTAGGAGTTTTTGTTCTTCTATCCTGCATGTGCTTCTGGAAATCCAGATAATTTTTGTCTTTGTCATGAAAAAGAAAAGCCTGCTGCAGTCTGCTTTGGTTTTAATAAAGTGTACACAGTAGCAAAGTGCATTTTTGGTTTTGTTTTGATGCTCCCTTTGATGTTGGCGTGTGTATATATTTAGATATACTGCACTGTTGTACAAGAATTGTTTTAGTAAATAACTATTTGTAAAAACTGTTAATTGTTTTTGGTATGAATGCAAAATATTAAAGCTGGAGTATTTAGTTCATTATGTTGCAAAGTCAATTTATAAATTTAATGGAAGAATAATCAGTAGAAGGACTTCCTTTGCAGGGAGGACTTGGAGATGCAACAGGCAAGGTCCATGAGAAATACTTAGCTCAAATTTTCTGACTTCAGGCAGGGTGGATTTTTCTGTTTTGGGGTGTTTTTTTGGGGCGAGGGGACACACATGACTTTTTTGGATGGTGCTTATATATAAATGATATTATTTTTACTTTTGAAGTTTTTCATTTGTCATTAACTTCTTTCAGCTAAAAATCAAGTAATACATTATACATCTCATTTCAAGTATGCAGCATGTCCTTTTTTTTTTTTTTTGTA